AAAAAAATTCTATATTTTTGGAGAACGCAGAAAAAGGATACCCATACACACACACAAACACACATGGCTTGTAATATGAAGGCATGTAAAAGTACAGTAACAATAATAGCAAGGACAGACTTAAAGCAAAACCAGTCAAGTGTGTGTAATGTAACAAAGACCTAAACCTAAATTACAAACACACACACACACACACACACACTCGACTGCCACTCACACACACGTACGGGGGGAAAATAATGAGAAAATATCAAAAAGTGTGCCAGTCCACTTTTGATATTTTCTACTCAATCCCTCGGGCGGCTCAGCAGCTGAATGTCAACTTAAAGCTCTTGCAACTTGCCGCTGGCCAAGGAGACAAGGCCGCATGTGGCATGAGTGTCGCCTGCTTTCAACTTTGCTTCTTATGCCCTTGCACAGAGAGTTTCATAATTTTCTTGTGAAGCTGGTAATGTAATGTAATGTGAGCGTGGAAAGAGTCGTCTCTGAACCCACAAAGCATATCAATTCATGATTAGCTTCACTTGCCAAGTCCAATTTCGCCTGTTTCAATTCTAGTTTTTCAGTATTACTTTTACCTGAATGAAACTGGAAATATATTAGACTGTTAGCTGAATCTGTTCTGTATATATTTTTTAAGAGAAACTTTTTATCTATCCGAACCAAACTCACTGAATAATTATTTTATTTTGCTACTCACATTTTGACAAACAATCATTAACATCGGACTGCTGTATTATAGGAACAATCTGCCGGTTTTATTTTTAATGAAATTTCAGTGTTATCGGGTTGACGCCGGTCTGCAAGGGTATATAATCTTCGGTGTGTCGCAGATAGCCGTTCTTTCTGGCGCGTGGTGCGGGCCAAAACCGACGCTAATGAGCTACTTAGGCGATGACTTAAGTTATTATTGTGTGTATGCGTGTGTGTGTGTGTGTGTGTGTGTGTGTATAGGTGTATAGGGTGTGAGAGCGTTTACACATCGTGACATTACACATACGCAACGTTGCTTTGGCCACACTCTTTGTGGAAATTTTTTAAGTCGACCCATTCGAGCTTGGGCCGACGACAACTGCTGTTGCTGCTGTTGCTGCTGCTGCTGCCAGACATGTTGTCGTTGACAGTGCCACCAAAAGTGTCTCTTGTTTTCAACAACTTGAATTTGGGCCAAAAAGTTTAAAGAGCAGTAGTCCTTTTGCTGTTTGCTGTTCTTTCATTGTCCAAATCTATTCAGTTCTCTTTTGTTCATTGTGGTTTCTCTTGACCGCAAATATGCCCTATAAAGTTCGATTAATATTTCAATAAAAGTTTGTTTGTGTGAGTGTGTGTGTGTAAGTGTGCGTGTGTGTGTGTGTGTGTGTTGTGTCCCTTAACGGATTACAATAATCAGGGTACTTTTGTGCCTGCGGTGATTGCCACAAAGGGATGGCCCTCAAGTGATGAAGAGAAGCTGCTTAAATATTTGTTGCTTGTTTGCATTTTGTGCGCATAATGCACTAAATTATGTACTTAAAAGCAATTCTTTGTCCATTGAATTCCACAAATTGCCCCAACGGCCAAATTTCAATCATTAGCCAGCTGACGAACAATAGCAGCTGATTTACATGCCACTAGCGCCGCGGGATTCATTAGGCGGCTCCAACCCAAAAATAACACAGCAGCCACAACCGGGTCACAACCACATAAACGCACACACACACACACATATGCCACTGTGTGTGTGTGTGTTATAGACAGACAGATGCATAATTACCAACACCTCATTAGGCAAATGCCGCATAAAAGAAAGCAACTTTGCTTTAATCAGAGTTCGCCGACAGTTGAAACAGTTGAAAACTTTCAACAGTTGCTGCCACATAGGCTGCGTCCGTCACAATGTTTACATAACACACGCAAAATAAATAGACAAACACAAAAACATATATATACAAAGGCGCTTTCCATCCACATAGTTGAGCTGTTCGACGCTGTTTAGCTGGAGGCGGCGACCTGACAGTGAAAATCATCGGCCCAATTCTCTAAAATGTGATTTTATTAATTAAATGCGACAGGCAAGTGTCAAATCAGCGACAGGTCGTGTAGTACGCCCCCTTCCCTTCAACCACTCCTCCTCCACTCTCAGTGGTGCTTGTTCCCTGTGGCTTGTGCTGCGGTTCAATGTGCTGTGCGAATGTCAATGACGACGATGACGACGACGACGACAACGTACAACAATTTTAAACATGTCAACATGGTGTCATAATTAAAATGTTCAGCCAGGCCATGTCAGTGTGTATCAGTGTGCTCTTGCCGGTGTGTGTGTGGGTGTGGGTGTGTGTCTGTGTGTGCTTTTAGTTTCTGTCTGCCTGCCTGGCAGTGGGCGCTGTTCGATTCGCTTGCAAATTGGAGACTTAAATTCGCGACACCCACTCGGGAGCAAGCAAACGGCGCCTGGAGGCGTTGCCTCAGTAAACGCCAACGTTATTGTTTGGTTTTACGTTGGGCGGCATTTTTAATGATGGTCTGGTCTGGTCTGGTCTGCTCTGCTCTGGTCTGGGCGTAGAGGCCAGGGCTAGGAGACCATTTTTGCTGACAGGTCGGTCGCAACGGGTAGCTGGTTAACTGATTGGTTTTGCGGTCGCTTTCGAGCCGCATTTGGAAGCCATTTATTACGGGCTATAAGAGATATGCTACTAATTGCTCTTCTCTGTCAGGAGTAGGAGTTTTGGTCATTATGTTTGAAGTATTACGACAAGTTTAAATAGGTGAAAGTAACTCAATATGCTAAACTGCATCGATTTTCAAAATTAACCCAAATTTTGGTTATTCAAATTACTTTAATACTCTGCTTGCAGTTGTGGAAAGGAGTATTTTGACTTTCTGAACTGTTCCTTTGTTTGCTTGACCGTTTTTCGATTTATATACTCTTTCGGTCTAAGATTTCTTTATATAAATTCAAACAAATTACTGTCAAATCTGTCTGATCAAGAATATATATATACTTTGGACGTTTCTTTCGATGTGCTGCAAATTCACTGCCAAATTCAAATACCATCTGCAATGGTATAAAAACCTGTCAACATCAAAAACCATATTCTATTTATACACATTAAAATATATTGAATATTTAAGAATTAAAAATATTATTCACACTCTTGATAATGAGGAAAAAACTCAACATTTTGTTGCAAAATGAAACTGTGTGTAAATTGCGTAAAAGAATAATTGATTCTGGTATTTTCGGATGTGGCCTCGAAATTGGAAGCGAAATATTGACCCAACAGAGGCATTCCTCTCATTTATCAAATTGCAGCAATATTTTGTATGAAGAAAAAAAACAATAAATAACTCGCAAAACAATTTAAAATTGATCTAATTGAGTATTATAAACATCAGCAAAAAAAGGCCGTCAACCCTTAAACAACATTTTAAACAACCATAAAAATGTTATTTTGGTGCTGGTCAAATTGGGAAGTATTTTTCTTGTTTTATTTTGGCGCTTTATTGCGCTTTATTGTAAAATAGTGCTGTTAGTATCCAGTTTATAGCCGTATTGGAAAAAAAAAAACATAAGAGAAACTGTGTTTGCCAAGAGACCAGGAGACACTGGCCAGCAGTTGGCTGCACGTTATCCTGGCCACTTAGTCTTGATTAATGCGTCGCATTTGGCGGACCATGGCGATGGCCATGCACCCGTAAATAACCCGCCATCCGCTGGCCGTTGACCGCCCGTTCACTCAGATGAGTTGGCTTTTATTGTCTCAAGGTTAATTTGAATGGCCAAAACTTACGTAAGCATGCCAATCTATTTTTTTTCTCTCTTTTTCTCCGCTTTGTTTTAAAATGTGGTATTTATTTATAGTGTTCTTTTCGCATTTGTTTTTTTCTTTCTTCTTCTATATTATTATTTAAAGCGTTGAACTGTCCGAATCGGCAAAAAATTAAAGAATTTTGTGTAGATGTTGCTGTTGATACAGGATATTTGCAGAATGTTCAGTATTTATTTATTGTGGAGTGCAATAAATATTTATGCTGTTTATCTTGACACTAAGACAGCTGCCTACATTTATATATATGTATGTATATATTTTTATTTTTTAAATTTGAATACATTTAAATTCTAAGCGCTTAATCACTTTCTGCGCCAAGTGAGCTTTGCGTTTGAATTTCATACTTTCATTTTGGGAAACTGCGCAGTGCATTTCGCCAGCCGGAGGAGCAGAGGAGCCTGTCAGTCAATCATTCATTGACACATTGATTGAATGCTACGGTCTGCAGCTGCTCAGTTGCCCAGCTGCCCTACACACGACCTGCCACATGTTTGAAGTATGCTTTCGAACTTGTACCAAAAATTTAAAGCATTTTCAAACTTGAGCAGCGACAACATGAGCTCGGCTAACTCACCCTGTGAGTTGTTGTTGCTGTCAAGGAATGTCTCTTGTGAATTTTCCAGCTAGCTTGTTACGAAAAGGGCGCAACACATTCATAATGTGGGCAACGAAAATGTAAATGTATGCAAAAGGCATTGGTGGACAGAGACAGGAACTGAGAGAAGGACCCGCATGGAAACACGCACCACATCTTGATGGGTTATTGCCCAGTTTTTGGAACCTGCCATTTGTTTCAGTGGGTGGCCACCAAATTAGAAACAGACACACACACACACATACACAACACTTAAGCTCATATGCATAAATATTTGTGGGCTTTAGACTTTGCCGCGTGACTCTGCGACGCGCCACAGCATTTTCGCACAGATCCTGTAATAATGCGCATTAAAATGGGCCGACAATTGTGCTGGCACATATAGAGAAGGTTGGGCATATGGGGGTTGATATTGAGTTGAAGACAAGAAATTTACATAGGGGCTGTTTGTGTGTGTGTGTGTGTTTGATTGCGTGGAACTTTATTGTTTGCATATAGGCAAATTGCGAAGTGGCATGTCGCAATTGGTGTCAATTTCGTTCACATATTTCGCGAAAACTGCTGGCAATTGCAGTCATTTGCATTGATGCACTCACCTCACACTTTGGCAACGGACCCTCGGGCATCTTCACCTTCCAGCCGAGGAGCGGTGGAATGCAGATGAGTGCCGACATTATCCACACGGCTGTGATCATGATAGCGGCACGGGCGGGTGTCCGCGACTTGAGATAGTCAACGGCCTTGGTGATGCTCCAGTATCGATCCAGCGAGATGAGGCACAGATTCATTATGGATGCGGTGCACAGCAGAACATCCATGGCCGAGTGTATGTCACACCACCAGCTGCCAAAGATCCAATAGCCCATCAGCTCGTTGGCCAGCGAGAAGGGCATGATGATCAGTCCCAGAAAGAAATCGGCAACGGCCAGCGAGGCAATGAACCAATTCTGTATGTTCTTCAGTGATTTCTCCGTCGCAATGGCAATGATCACCAGCATATTGCCGACAACAATGATGATCATCAGAATGGTCACAATTATCGAGGCGATCACAATGTGCGTCAGCGTATATCCGCTCGGATAGCGTCCATCCCAATGCAGCTCGGTGGCATTGCTGTTGCTGCCGTTGCCATTGTTGCCCAGCAGGCTGAGATTGGCCGTCGTCTGATTGTAATAGCTGCCCGCCAGTTGCAGGCTGCTGTTGTAGAAGCTACCATTCAGCAAATAGATCGTATCATTCACTGGCGCTGGCAGATCCAACAGATTTTGCAGCTGCACCTGCCCATCGACTGTGACCAGGGGCGGATTTAGGGTGTTCCCCGTGTTGAGCAGTGGTGTTATTGTTGTTGTTGCTGCCGTCGCATTGGCTGTGAACACCGCCAGGAAGTCATCGGTGCTGATGTTGCCCGTATTGATGATGCTCGCCTCCATTTTCGCATAGTCCATGTTGCTCTCTATTCCCCAACTTCTCTATCTGAATTTTGTGGTTATCTGTATCTGTATCTGTGTCTATATCTGTATCTGTATCTGTGTTTAGTTAGCGGCTGATTGGTCCCATGCTGGCGCACAGCTCGCCTCGTCTCTTGAATATATATTGTACATTTATGTATTGAACATTTAATTTGGGAATGGGGCCGGTGAATTTAGCATTCCTTTGTGAACTTTTCAAATTGATTTCTGTGTTCTCGTGTTCTTCTTACACCCAATTAAATCTAAATAATTTATCTAATGCCTAGCATAGTTTTGCGATTCGCAATAATTCGATTATGTTTTACCCGTTTTGCACCGAAACTTGTGTGTGTTTGCCAACGCGTTTTAAATCGCTAGAAAAACGCGAACGCGCGCGCGTCTCTTAATTAATTTGTATATAATTTGTTATATATTTTTATGTTGTTATTATTTCTTTGGTTTTGATTTATTTGGTTTGTACACGTAAACGTATGAAATACCGAAATAGAGAGGCAGATAGACAGACAGAGACAGATTGAGAGCGAGAGAGAGAGAGGGAGAGAGCGAGTAGGAGAATCACACACACAAATATTACACGAATACGATATAGAAAAAGACTGCCCGCTAATTAATATTGACTATATACAATTGGGAGGACTCATCGCCTGGGCGGCACACAAGATCCCCACGATCTAAATCTCGATCTCATCGATCTGCCCGATAACCGTGTTGCACACACAAGTCACATTGCGTCCGGCGTTTTTTTTTTGGCCGCTTGTTGTCAGGCTGCACTGTTATTGCTGCTCGCGCATCGCAATTCAACTCACTTTTGCACCTTTGATCAACAGTTTGAATTGAATATGTTTCTGTATGCAAATGTATCTCGCTTTGTTTGTTTATTTTGTTTATACTTAGAGCTGAACGCGCGCGCGTCTCACGAAATTCACTCAATCGGCCAACAGCTTTGTTTTTCTTCTTCTTTTTTTTTTGGTACTTTGGATATTGTTGCGGATGTGATGTGCTTGTTGTGGTTTTTTTTTGGTTTTTTTGTTTTTTGTTGTGTTGGCTAGTGGGCCAGCTGACGCGCCCGCGACACGTTCGCACCGCTGGAAATGCACATCTTAACTGAATGGGCCCCAAACACTTGCTACCAAAGTTTGTCTTCCACACAGCACGCAGCCTCTGTGTCCCGTTGTGTTGCTTCGGCTTCGCATCGTCGGCGTCGCATTCGTTGTTATCGTCGATTATGCGCTCTTCGGCATGTTCCAATTTAAGGGAAATTTACTCATATTGTGGGAAATTCTCTCTTTAGTTCGCTTTAAGTGAGTTTGTTTTGGTTGCGTGTCTGTGTGTGTGTGTGTGTGTGTGTGTGTGTGTGTGTGTGTTTGTCCCATTGCCCTAAACCTAAACCAAAAAACCCAAGCTGAATCCATTTGTTGCAGCGCTTTTCACGTTTTACACTTGGCTGTTGCAACCCTACTCTGTGTGTGTGTATGTGTGTGTTACTTACAAATGTTGGCCATTCCAACGATGCCCGTGTGTGCGATGCGTCCCACTGTTTACACTTTTTGTATTTCAAGCCACATCGCTGCTTTCTTTATTTGTTTCGCAGCAAATGCTGCTGGCGGCAGGCGCTGACCCTTTAAATACGTCGGCCGGTTAAAGTTGCCTCCAAAAATGAAGCCATCGTCAAGAGGTGTGTGCGGATTCACAAACACATAGGTACTCATATTCCTAATGGAATATGTATATATATCTATATATCTCTATATATATATATATCTATGTGCACATTATGCGCGATAGTCACGTAGCTTGGGGCACATAATTGAAAAGCCAAGTTGAGCGTCTCAATCGGATAACCAAACAGGTTGTTGTTGCTGCTGGGATGGAAATGAAATCAGCTAGAAATTATTATGATAATGAAAAGTTGAGCGCACACTCAGCACACTCAGCTGAAAGTTTGTTTTTATGAGTTGCAACGTTGAATTTCTACGCTGCGTATGAGTTATTGGACTTATTTGATTATGTTAAGCATACGTTGCTGCTGCTGCTGTTGCTGCTGCTGCTGTTGCTGCCGCGCATAATTTCAAATTACACACAGCAACGCGACATCAACATAATAAATCTGAAAAGGGCCGACGTCTGACAAACAAGCAGGCAGCAACTTATTTGCCGTGACGGCCAAAGAGAGACACACACACACACACACACACACACACACACTTAGTCAAGTGACAAATGCCGGATAGAGCAGGCAGCAGAAAGAGCAACAACAACAACAAAAACACTCAGCGTCAATCCCTGACAGAAGATTGCTTGTCAAGCGCTGATTATATTAACAGCCTCAACAACTAGGCTGGGCTTGCATGTGTGTGTGTCTGTGTGTCAAGCTAATCATTTGTACACACACAAACATACACATACACCAACGCACACATACACCAACACACACATACACCAACACTCACACTCACACACACATATCCAATGGCAAAGGCAGCGCATCATATTGCGCATACGCCGCATAGGATTTCTGCAAACTGACGTCTTAGATAATGCGCAAATCTCTCAAATGCGTAAATTGCTCGCATACATGCCACCTCATGCTGTATGCCACCGTTCTGAAATTTCAGCACGCACATTGCCGCACCGCGCTAATGGAACATTCGCCTTTTCAACTAAATGCAAACGCCTGCATTGAAGTTGTCGTTGTGGCTAAATCTAATTTTAATTCGCCGCACGTTCTGCATAATGAAATCGGATTTGTGGACGAACTGCAACTGCAATTGCAAAATGGGGCGCGACTGGGTGAATGAGTGCAGAGCTTACCATTCCCATAAATTAAGAAATAAAATATATAATGTATTTGTATACCATGAACCCATTAGATGGCTAAGAAGGATATAATCCTGTTACTGCAAAAGTATATTAAAGGCAGATGGAAGCATCTCCGACCTCATAAAGAATATATATATTCTTTAGCAAGAGCAGATCCAGCCATGTTCACTTGTTTCTCCGTTTGTCTGGGGGACTTCAATATAAAGTTTGCGTCTACCACGGCATATAAAGTTTATTTTATTTATCGTTAGTTACTAGTTTTTGTGTGCTCTTCTTTCTTTTCTTTTTCTTTTTTTGAGAACTTTGCAAGCCTGCAAATAGCATAACTGGCAATTGCTCATTTTTTTTCTGCAGATCTCAGCTGGGTAGCAAAATAAGACATTTCCAGTTGAAAAATACGCAAATGCAACACGCTAATGGCTGCGAATATTTTATGGGCGCTTATCATTCGCATTAGCTAGAAAATTTGTTGTTAAAAGCTAGACGTTGAGGAGAGCAGCTGTGCTGTGTGTTTTTTAGCCCGTTGCCATCGCACTTACCCCTCCGAGCTGTGCACGGAAATTGCGTTACTCATACGCACTGTGTCGCCGCACGATGCATTATCTTAATTTAAATGGCACCTCACAACAAGAGAACAACAATATTAGGCAGTCAGTCAGGCAGTCACTCAGTCGAGCAGTCAGAGCTCGTGTGCCGTGTTTTAGTTTCATTAACTTTGCTCAACACTCATTTATCAACCTGTCAACGGCAATTATTTATGCCCGCACCGGCACACGGCTCTTTGCAATGCGATTCATGTGCAGGCGGAATGGAAAATTATAGAAAATTATCAACAGCACAAGCATCTCAATTTTCCTTGCGAATGAGCTTCGCACTGAAACAGCAATCAATTGAAATTAAATACGCAACAAAATCGAATTAATGGCCAAAATCATTTTTGGATGGCGATAACATCGCAAGTCAACCCATTCCACTTATAGGCAAAACATTTAAAGTTTTAATCTCTTGATGAGGGCTTTGATTTTCATGCTTACCGCCCGGCCATTAGTCCGGCAATTAGCCGAGGGCAGCGCGGGCGACACGTGCACCCAATCGACAGTTGAGAACCTCCGTTGAGGACCAGAGGGCACATTTGATGGGCGGCAGGAAATGAGCAATCCAACCAACACGGACTGCATATTCATGTGACATGGATGCGCTCCGAGCATCAAATTAGCTACAGGAAATGCGGCTGCAAACAATTCTCGGTTTTCCTGAACAAGGAACGCTGAACAGCAGCGGGGTTTTATTCAATGCTCAAAAGGGAAACTCACCTTTTATATATATTTGACAATTTTACAAAATGTGCCAGTTATCCAGATGACCCTTCTAAACACAACAATTATCCTGCAAGAATTTCAGTGTTAATCTTAAACAAGGCACACAGCATTAAAGACTGAGTGCAAAATGTGCCATTGTCAGTTGTCATAAATTTTATGCGCTTAATTACTTGCTGTTTTCTGAGAAACTTTTGACGGGGCTAGCAACATCATTTATTATTTTTATTTATGCACTTAAAACAAACGTTTTATTGACACCGCCGACGGGTCGGTTGGTCGGTAGGTCGGTGGTTTGGCGGGTCCGTGAGGCGATAGTCAATAAGGCAGCGACAACTTAAAGGACTTTGCCAGAGAGTGCCATTAATCTTAAGGCGAAGTTGTGCAGCTAATTGCGGCGCAATCGGCTGTCTGGTGCGACACAAGGTCATTTGCCGCGAGGCACGGCGGCAAATAAAATACATCAGCATGTTCACCTCGTATCTATGGCCCTATGGATGCCGGGCCATTGCTGCTGCCCGGCTGCACAATAATAAAAGGTACTTTGTCGACATTAATGCGTTTAATGCTCCCCAAAAATTGTGTGAAAAAAAAAAAATAAATAAATAAAAAAAAAACGGAGTCGGGACAAAACAAGGAGCCGCGTGTCCAGGTAAAATATTCAGACTTGTTTATGTGACGGGTCAGTCAGAAAAGCGCTGAAATTTGCCTTCATATTACACTTAAACAATTTTTAATTAGCTGCCCCGACAATACAACAAAGCAAAAACAAAAGCCAAAGGAGGCCCATAACAAAAGCGACACGGAACAAAAACCGTTGTGTGCTCTGCGGCCCGTGCGCTGTGGTGCCTGGGTTGAGGGCTCTGGGCTCTGGGCAGTGGCATGAGGGCTATGGGCTGAATGGGTTGGTTGGATGGGCGTGATGATGATGTGACGTAGCGCTGTGTGTGGCCAGTGCACAACGCGGGCAAACATCAAAACTTGGACCTGTAAATGGAACCTGCCACCAGTTATGAACAGTTGCGTTGCGTTTCCTGCGTCGCGTCGCGTCGCCTTTGGCCTTTTTCATAGTTGCCGCTTTGCTTACTTTTCACAACGACTGGTTTGTGGCAATGTTTTCCAAAGCCGACATGAAAATTTTGCAACACAAAGCGCCTCTGGTTTGGGCAACACAAAATCCTATGACTTAATTAGTATCTTGTGTAGCTGTTCTGTT